AGGAGGAGGAGGAGGAGGAGGAGGAGGAGGAGGAGGAGGAAAGAAAGTCTAGTTGTTATTAACTCTTTGGAGAAGCCAGAGAAAGAGAGTCTTCTTGGACTTCAAATTAAAAAAAGAAGGGCTGTGTTCATGAGTACATCCTGAATTCTTAGGGATCGTAGCCATCTTCTGATATTGAAAAGAGTAATATGAAGGGGAAAAAAACCTAAAAAAAACCCCTCTCCAAACCAAGAAAACAAGAGCTGTGATATCTATCTATCTGTCTGTCTATCATGTATCTATCATCTATCTATCCACCCATCCATCCATCCATCAACTATCTATATCCATCCGTCCGTCTGTCTGTCTGTCATGTGTCTGTCATCTATCCATCCATCCATCAACTATCTATCTATCTATCTATCTGTCTGTCTGTCTGTCTGTCTGTCTGTCTGTCTGTCCGTCTGTCTGACATGTATCAATCATCTATCTATCTATCTATCCATCCATCCATCAACTATCTATCTATCTATCTATCTATCTATCTATCTATCTATCTATCTATCTATCTATCTATCTATCTATCTATCTATCCAAATCTATCAATCTAAATCTATCTAACACAAATCTATCTATACAAATCTATATCTACACAAATCCATCAATCTAAATCTACACAAATCTATACAAATCTATCAATCTAAATCTATCTACAGAAATCTATCCATCTGTACAAAGCTATCAACCTATCAATCTAAATCTATTTATCAATCTATCTACGCAAACTTATACAAATCTATCAATCCATATCAGGGGTGTCAAACATCATAGCGAAACCGCGCCTACCCCATTGCTGCCAATGGCAAAAAAGTCGTGATACGTCGCGACACGTCACGTGACGTTGCGAGTTTGACACCCCGATCTATATCTGTCTAGCTGTCTATCTATCCAAATCTATCCATCCATCTGTACAAATAATTATCTATCAATCTGCAAATCTTTAACCATCTGGCTCATCATTTTTATAATCACCTTACCAACCTAAGTGTAGCTGTATCACACCCAATTATTTGTGTTACAAATTACCAATTATCATTATCTCTAGCTAGTTATCCCAGCTGCTGCCTCCTGTATTTCCGTTCCCTGTTGGCTATTCTCTTTGCAGACTTGACCCTCAAATGATCAGAGGTGGACGGATGTGTATTTTGAGGCAATACTTTATACAACCACGGAAGCAAAGCTACAGTCCATCCAAACACATATTATAATAAAAACAGCTTTCATATTGTAAGACGTCTTTGTTGAAGAAGATTAACCTAATTTAAGCGCCAATTAAAAATATCAAGAAGAACCGATTGTGTACTTTATTGCTTGTATTAAATTGTATTTTCTGAATTTGGAACCACAAGGACCCAACCTAATTCCTGATTCAACCACACAACTCCATTTGTTGTCTTTGGTCCAATACTTTGCTTACCATTCAACCTACTGCACAAGCTGTATGTGCAGAAAAAAAAACAGGTACCATCTCCTGTTCATCTGTTAATGACTGATTTCCCAGAGGTTCAAATGGCACCCCAATCTTTTATAACGGGAATCTCCAACCATGACTTTATGACTTGTGGACTTCAAGTCCCAGAATTCTGGGACTTGAAGTCCACAAGTCTTAAAGTTGCCACGGTTGGGGACCCCTACTTTACAAGGAAGCTTGAGTATGTGTCAGTCTATTGCAGGGGGTCTTCAAACTTGGCCCTTTTATGGCCTGTGGACTTCAACTCCCAGAATTCCTCAGCCAGCGTGCCTGGCTGAGGAATTCTGGGAGTTGAAGTCCACAAGTCATAAAAGGGCCAAGTTTGAAGACCCCTGGTCTATTGTGTGCAAATCTCCATCTGCAGGAGTGGGACGGCCATATTAGTGGCACTCAAGGAACAGTCCACGGCTCAACCATATTGGTTTATTTCCTGCCTTTTCTCCAGGGGCTGAACGTGGCTTTCGTGGGACTTCCCTTCATACCGGGATTGTTGGGGTTGAGGGTGATGAGGCCAAAGTCACCCAATGAGCTTGCATGGCTGAAAATGCATTTAAATCTTCCCAATCTTTTCAACTCAAGAAATAGTGACAGAACAGCAACAGTCTACTGTTTTTAAATGGATGCACAACTGAAACCAAATAATTAATGTGTAACAATGGGAGATATCACTGGGAAATAAATATTAAATTTACCCCCACAAAGGGGGCATCACTGGAAGATAAATACTAAATTTACCAAGATATTTTACACTGAACTATAATTCCACTGATGATGAACAAAATGGATCATCTAGATCTAGAACCTTTTGGAAATGTAGTAAAGACAAAATGTTTATGCCCTCTAATTCTCAATGACCCAAGTAGCTCACAAAAGTCTGTGGGTTTTTTTTTGGTGTGTGTGTGTGTGTGTTTTAATATCTGGGGGCAAGGCTGTAAAGCTTAACCGTGCTGGAAGACAGTTTATTTTAGAAGGAAATAAATTTTAAGGCTGAATTCTCTTTCTTCCCAGATGTCTTTCAGTTGAACAGCACCAAAACCATCTATCACTACAAAATATACCAAATTGGCTTTGTTTATTGGTGACCGTTGCC